GATTACAGTGTTATTAAACTTTAGCCGTTAAAATGTTTGTAAGCAACTGAAAAAAGCACAAATGTCAACCTCCGTGAAGTTGGCCCCCCACCCAATGCAAAACGTCGGCAAAATAGTCTCAATCATTAATTAAACAAACAAACAGACTTACTGGGTGAGCAGGGTAGGCTATGACAGCTGTCATATCATACCCTGCCATGCCCAGCTGATGCAAAGAATAGAATTTATATCTACACAGAAGAAAGCGCTGTCTAGACTCTGCCCCAATATGAGTTGTGTCGAGCTATTCATTAGCCTGTTTGTTTGATGAAAAAAGATTAAATGTAGTTGCAATAAATGCGTTAAGAATCCATACAACTGCAGCAGTGGAGGACTATTATTCTGCTGCGTGATACTGCAGAAGAACTGATGAAGGCACGGTTTGATCTTCGGCTGACCAATCAGCAGAAAGGGGCGTTTAATTCCCACCCACATTCATTTTTTCACCCATGAACGAGAAACGAAAATTTAAGCTGAATTCTCGTTTTTAATTTTTTGGAAAATAACATTTTTATTTCGATTGAGGTGTCTGTCTAAATGGAGCATTTTCATTCAGGTTGGACTTTTAAACTGACTGCTATTGGAATACAATTCTCCATTTAAACGCACCTAGTGATTATATAGGGAACACTCTTGGCTTGCTTTCTATAACCCATTCAAACTCTGAACAAGTTGCATTTTTCATGCTGCACTGCAAAGTTTCAGAAGTGACAAATGCGGTATTAAATCTGAAATTGTGATGACTGTCACAGTGATAACCATAGCAACGGATGGGACAAAAAACATCGGACTTTAACAAAATTAGGCTATGTTCACACTTGCCGTCTTTTTTGAAGTTGCCAGCGTTTGTTTTACATTATAGTCCTATGGAGTAAACCGTGTTTTCAAAAAATCCTGAGTGCTTTTTTTAAATGCCACCACCGGCATCTTTTTTTTTCTGCAGCTCAGAGCGTCTTTTCAAGTTGAAAAACGTTTAACTTTTCTGAAAAAAAAAAAAACCTACGTCAAGCACCTTTTTGACAGCTGACAAATGACAAGCGAGTAGTGAGACTAGTCGTTTCCATAACAACAAGAAAAAATGGAGAAGGAGCTCCGGTTGGATGATGCACAGTTTGTGGCATATTTTAGACTAAACAAAAGTCAGTTTGAAGACCTGCTACAAATCATTGCACCATTTATTGCAAAAATGCAGACAAAATTCAGGGAGATCATTAGTCCGGAGGAACGTAAATATGCCTCAAACTGTGTATCATCCAACCAGAGCTCCTGGAATAAATTTTTTAAGCACCATACTGTTTCCTTCCCCATATAATGTTGTGAGAGTGGTGGAACTATGACGTCACTTCGTAGGCAAAAACCCGGAAGCATTTTAGCACTTCCGGTTCCATCGTCCCAGAGTCAATGGGTTTTTTGAATGGGAGTTTGATTAAATCCCCTAAAATATGGTCCGTGGTTCACACAAGCTCAAGATACTTTCACGTTTTATTCTACGACATAAAAAACACCAGTTACACCCCACTTGTGATTTTTTTTAACTGTTACGGTTACGTTTAACTGTTACGTTTCTACTATAGATTTGTTACGTTTCTACTAAACATTATACTAGGGGTGCTCCGATTGATCGGCTACCAATCATTATCGGCCGATAATCACGTTGGGATGATTGATCGGCGGTCTCCAAAAAGGCCAATCTCAAAAAAAACGATCTCAAGCTGATGACGTTGCCATGAGAGGTTTGGCATGACATGCAGTGGCACCGTCTCAGTCTCTGTCCGGCACGGGTGAAATCATTATAATGCTGAAGGTGAGGTACTCACCTTCATATTTCTTCATTAGCTAACTTAGATAACTTATAAAGTAATTTAAAAACATTGTGTGAGACGTAATTTCACAAACAGCGAGAGTGAATGACCGCGCACGCGCTCTCTCAAAATATGCAAATGGATTCAAATCACCACATCGCGTCTGTCTGTAAGCGAGCTGCACGCTGCACAGTTGACACAGCAATTGTCACTTGCACAATCGAGGCAGTGTCACATCGTCACTAAAGTTTATAAATTGCATTACTTTTTAATTCTTGCCAGTGTTTAACCATTCAGTGCTCGCGCGCTCTCGTGGAGACTGTGCGCTCATGCACACTCGCACTCGCAGCGCACACACATAATGCCAGGTTCACATTACTCCGTTGGCAATGCGTATGTGGTGCGTATTTTTTCCGCGATCATGTTAACGGATTAATAAAGCGCGCACACTGCACACCGTTGCTGTCCGGCAGTGCATTCCACGAGTGGTACGTCTGCAGCAGTGCAGAGATGGTTTCCGAGTCTATTTTTGCTGCGCTGCAAGCGCTGAATTAAAGTAACAGCTTATGTAGGTGTCATGTCATGATTATGAAGGTGTCATGTCAGTCTTATGCACACCCCTTCAAGTAAAGTGTAACCGAAAAGCCTTGGCTACTCTTCACCTGAATTAGAAAAAAAAGCTCTTCTGGTGTTCAGTGATGCGAGGACAACGTTTGAGCGTGTACACGCAATATCTGAGCGAGAGCAGAGCCAATTCATAAAATAAAAAAAAAACAATGTATTGTTAAAAGCACACGTCCAGTTTTGTATGAGTGAAGGAAATCCACTTGCGGATTCTTGCGGTGAGATTCTTGCTCACACATTACATGGATCGCGTAACATTATGCGCTCTCTAAAAATCCTTATTGGAGTATCCCTATAAATAGTTATAAATGATAAAAAAGAAGGCTTTAAAAAGATCGGTATCGGCAGATACTGCTTTCTGTGATCGGCGATCGGTGATCGGCCTCAAAAATCCTGATCGGAGCACCCCTACGTTATACTATTTATTACTAATGTCTCATTTCAGTTTTAATTTGGCTCTAGTTTTTTATTTATTCATATTTATAAGGAAAGGTTCATAAAGCGTATATAAATTAAAATTTATATACAGAGTAAATCCTTTTCACTGAACATGTAAAAAATAAGTTTGAAAAATTTGTCGGAAGCACGGTGGTGGTGACGTTGAAGGCGAGCGACCATGGTGGTGTAGTTTGTTTATAGCCTAAGTTTAGCTTTTAAGTTCTGGTGCTTTTATTTAGGCTTCAAAATTCATAAAAGTTATATTATTTTGTGAACATTATCTTATTGGACAAAACGTGTAAGTTTATTGAACTATGGTTGTACACAGAGCTTATTTTTTGCGATAATCCAAAAGCCTATGGAAAAATCCTATTGGCATTTTGTCGAGGGAACCAGTGCGATGCTAACAGCCGATCGGCCTACAAAGTGACGTCATAGTTCCCCCACTCTATTACCGTCACTTTTTTAGTCAGCTAACCAATCACAGTGAAGGAAGGGCAGGACTAATACCACACCGACCAACCGTCACACTCTGCTTGTACTACGAAGTTAATATTGCTTGGCTCTGAGTATTCATGTCTTCACCAGATGGAATTCCCAGACTACTACCACAATATGATTATGAAAAATAATGCTTGGAGAAACATTTCATTCGTGATGCGTCTGACATATTACTTCAGCGGATATTCTGTATCATAGCAACCAAAGCGTCTCAACTGAAAACGCTGCGCCACAGAAACGCTCTCAATTGCTCAGCAGGCTAAAAACGCTTTGGTGGACACATCGCCTTGGAGTGTTCTGTATGAGTTTTGTTGTTTTTTTCACTTGACCTTTTTACTTAATTGAAAAGTATTTTAATGCTACATGCTTTTTTAATATATTTTTTAGCATTAATAATGAACTAATTTAGTTGTGTCCTTTATATAGTGGTATATATATATATGTGGTATGTATGCTTTTGAAGCATTTGTCATTTAATGTCAGTTGACAGAAAAAAAAGTTGCAGTCAGTTGCAGTCTGCAGCCCAAATCTAATTTTAAATCCCCCCAAATTAAAGGGGTCATATGATGCTGCTAAAAAGAACATTATTTTGTGTATTTGGTGTAATGAAATGTGTTTATGCGGTTTAAGGTTCAAAAAACACATTATTTTCCACATACTGTCCATTATTGTTTCTCCTCTATGCCCCGCCTTTCGGAAACGCGTCGATTTTTTAGTCTACTCTACCAGGATCAGGAAACAGTCCTCCATAAAATGCGCTGCACGCATCTGAATATTTGGGTTAAACTGTTCTGGAACAGTGTTGTAAATACAACTTAACCACTGATTTCTAGTCGTGCCCTCTTTTGGGAGGCCAAACAAAGTATTTTCACTTTCGCAACGAAACACACAGCGTCTTCACAACATGGCGGTGGCAGCAACAATAAAGTTACGCCTTCTTTCTTTGCGTGAACATTTGGGCGGCGTTATGCAAATCTTCCCACATCGTGACGTAGACATGTGGGGGTGTGTTTGAACGAGGCATTTTAGGAGGGCGTGGACGAGTCTTAACTTTTATAAAGAATATCTCTTTGGGTTTGAGACTTTAGTCTTTGCAACTTTAGGGATCTTATCTATTCACGAACAGCTTGTAACACTCCAAAGAGAAAGGAAAACTTGAAATCGCATCATATGACCCATTTAAAGGGGGTATGTTCCAATAGGTTTAACTATAATATCAAATAGATCCTCTATTAGACACACTCATTCTGAACAGGTCTACACTATGTCTCAGTGGTTTGATGACTCTGGCTTTTAAGTAAGATGCAGAGAATCATTCTTACTTAATAATTTCTTGATCTATTCGACATAACATAGCTAATCATTCTTTTCAATTCTTTTTTTTTCCAGCTGTTTTTCAACTCTACTGTCCCAGGGATCATCTTCACAAGATACTCTCTTGATCTGATCTTCATCTTTAACATAATTTCACGCTTTTACATTGGATATGAAAGTCATGGAGTGGTTATAACAGACCCTAAAAGAGTCCGGAAAAAATACCTTAGGACATGGTTTTTTCTGGATCTCTTGTCCGTTTTACCCCTTGAAACATTAACAATGGCTTTCTCTCAGCTGACGTTTATGCATGCCAATAGATGTCTGAGAGTGGTCAGATTGTTTGGTATAATATGTAAATATGTATTTATTTATATACTTTAAATAATTTATTATATAATTCAGATGTATACACCTGCTAATGGTTTTTGTGGGATTCTAGCCATGTTCAGTAAGGAACCAGACACCAACAAACTTCATCTAACAGCTTTCAAAGTGTTTTCCATCATGGTCCTGTGTATACAAGCCTCAGCATGCCTTTGGTAAGCCTGATAAATGGACAAGTATTCTATTTTTTAATGGGTCCTTTTCATTGTCACTTGGGTTATCTGAAGGTATTGGCATGGAACTGTATTTTTTTCTTATCAGGAATGCAGTCTTTTTTCTATCACAAAATTTTAGTGCAGAATAATGGCAAACTTTGTTATTTTTAATTCCAAGATATCTCATAAAGAAAACATTGCACAGCTAAAAGTAATGATGTTTTGTTGTCCCTTCAGGTTTCATCAGGTGTGTGAGCCCACTTATGCTGGTAATGTAAGGTATTGCCCCAAAGCGGAGAACTGGCTCCAGCTACTGCCAGAATGTAAGTTTTTATTTTCGTTTCATTCCCAATAACACAAAAAGGCCATTATATTTGAGAGATTAGCAAAACTATTAAACTATTAAAGCTGCACTATAAAAGACTGTTGGTTGAAAAATTATAAAATGTATTAAGCAAGTAAAAAAAATCTGTATAGCATCTGGATTCTTGTCTTAACCCATTCACCATGTTAAACTTGATCTGTACCATTTACATTTATTCATTTAGCAGATGCTTTTATCCTAAGCAGCTTACAAATGAGGAATACAAGAAGTGATTCACCATAAGCAGGCAAATAAACAGAAGAAGTGCCCGTAATACAAAGCTTCAGACATTGTTCAGAATAGTACAAGATAGAACAGGGTGGGATTCAGGAAAAGTGAAAGCATTTTTTTTTTCAGTAGGATGCAGTTGTGCTCTCGGAAGATATTAGATATTTAGAAAAAGATATTTTCAGCTGTCACTTGAATGTACTATCAATGTTACATTTGAATGTAAAACCTGGGAATTGCAGAAGAGTGAATATAGCACCTTTTTTAATGTGTTAGGCCTTAAAGGTGCAGTATGTAATTTTTTTTGACTGTGCTGAAGTATAAAAATGCCATAATATGTTTGCAGATATTGAAGTTCACACGCTTCTCCGAAAAGCAATGCTACATCAAGTTATTCGACTTTGAAATGTGTGTTCTGTGTTGGAATGTCTGTTTCTGTTTTGGTCCATGTGATTCTGCCCTCTGTTAATTTACCCAATAGTATTTCGACACCCCAGGTTGCCAGTTGGCGGATAATACCGTATATTGCATCCATAGAAGCTAGAAAATGAAACTGGGTCAGAGATTCCAGATTCTCCCCAAACTAAAATGCCATCCATCTAAAAAGCTGTATTACCAGAGGCATATTAAAATGCAGATTAATCAACTCATCAACTTTTGTGGAAGTCGCTCGTTCCAGTTGCATATCTTTGATTTGGTAACCCACGTGAGCGTTGAGTCTGAGGAAGAGGGTACAGGAGAAACAACTCTCTCCAGTATTTTAAATTTGGAATGCAGTAGCAATTTGAACAGCTAGCTGATAATATTACATATTGCACCTTATAGACATAATTTGTGCTTTGTGGAACGTCTGCTTAAATCTCTTTGTGGTATGTTTTTAGATAATGTTAATTAATATGGCATAATTATTTCTACAGTTTCAACCAATTCGACAGGAATTACAGACATGGAGTTCTATGCTACAACACTTTACTGGTCAACTATCACACTATGCTCCATAGGGTGAGTACTGTTAATGTCATGCATCTATGCACAATGCTATAGGCCTATGTGCATTTTACCTTTTTTGTTATCTGATATTTTCAAAATTGTTTGTCTTTTCCTTTTCTTTTTAAAAAGAATAGAAATTTGCAGTTTAAGTCATATTGTCTTTATAAACTATGAATCAAAAGCAGTGACATAAAACACAAAAAAAAAATCTCCCATCATTGTCTGTTTTAATGCTCACATCTCAAAATTCAATCAAAACGCGGATAGAAGTCCCTGCCCTGCATTTCTTCTTTTTCAATAATCAAGAAAAGATGTGCCGCTACTTGCATTTCATTGCCAATTTAATAATGACAGATATAGTGGACAGATGTTATATTTTAGCCAAAGTTGCCCCTTTACACCATGTCCTAACCAGCCACCATGCAACACACGGAATTTCTATTTTAGAAACGTTTGTATTTATGCAACGTCATGGCTGGAACAACAACATTCACACTATAATCTCAGGTACTGATTATGTGCTTTATTCAAAGTTTAAAGTGTCTAATGTGAGTTTAAATATTATTTTGCGAGACCTTTATAGCCATACTGAAAGCAACAATAGATCAACAATAAAGCAACCTCAGATCTTGAAAATAAATTAAAGCAAACATGTATGTTAAACTGTCAACTCAACTCGAACCAACAAGCGTATTCCATATCAAAGATGGTATCAGTCACTCAGTATGTACTTTTAATAATGTTAAAAAAGTTGAATATTTATGATTTAGATTATAAACTTGTTAATTTTGTTGGGAGTGCAGTGTGCAGTGTGCCATGCTTCTGAATGGCTGTGATATTTGAGTGATCCTGTCGCGTCGCATCTGGTGTGGAATCTTGTTGCGTCCAGGGTGACCACCAGGGTGGCGTTGTACAGCACAGCATTTTCACCCCTTGTCCCGCACGTCGCATATTGAGAAAATGTCCTGCATTTTCATCAGTCTGATGGTTTTTAATTGTCATATTAAGAAAACATGCGTGCATTCTTTTTGCCTTTTTAAGAAACCTTTTTATTTATTCTTTTTGCGGCGTAGTTTCCGCACAAAGGATGTGCGGACTTCATCAAGCACCACCGACGGAAAAGGTCGAGTGCACACCGAAAAAACACTATATTCTCCATTAATTTTAACCAATTAAAGGTGGATTCTCTTCACTCTCACACAAAACGGACGCGCTTTCTCTCGCTTACATGATGTGCGCATTCAGAAACATAAATCGGCGCATAGGACAACAGATGTAAATCAGTACAGTGGGGAAAATATTAATTTGATCCCCTGCTGATTTTGTAAGTTTGCCCACTTACAAAGAAATGAAGGGTCTGTCATTTTTATGGTATAGGTTTATTTTAACGGATAGAGACAGAATATCAACCAAAAAAATCCAGAAAAAAACACATTATATAAAGGTTAGAAATTGATTTGCATTTCAGTGAGTGAAATAAGTATTTGATCCCCTGCCAACCAGCAAGAATTATGGCTCCCACAGATTGGTTATGTGCCCATGTGGAACACAGATTAGTCCTGCCACTTTAAGAAGTTACTCCTAATGTCAGCTCGTTAGGTGTATAAGACACCTGTCCACACAATCTGTATCTTCCATTCCAACCTCTCCCACCACCATGGGCAAGACCAAAGAGCTGTCAAAGGATGTCAGAGACAAGATTGTAGATCTGCACAAGGCTTGAATGGGCTACAAGACCATCAGCAAGAAGCTTGGTGAGAAGGA